CAGTTGGGGTGTGTTTTGTGTGTGTGTGTCCTTGACTCACAACAGTTTGTTTCGTTGACCATCCAAAGCTACAACGGCACACAGAAAAAAGTGACTTACGGCTTTTTCAGAGTTATGACTTTTTTCACAATTACGACCTTTGCAAGCATCCCTGTGGTCATGTGATCAAAATTCAGCCACTTGGCAAAATGGTTCATACTTATGACCGTTGCCATGCCATGTCCCAAAGTCACGCGATCCCCTTTTGCGACCTTCGGACAAGCAAGCCAAGTCGACGGGGAAGCCAGATTCGCTTAACAACCAGGTTGCTAACTTATCAGCTGCTGTGATTCACTGTACAACTGTGGCAAAAAAGGTTGCAAAATGGAGCAAAACTCAGTGGAAATGTTGGGTTCAGTTGTGGTCGTAAGTTGAGGACTACCTGTATTGCACTGCCTCATTGGCTTGATGTTAGATTACCCAACTAATCGCTGTGTTAGAGCCAGTTTGGTCTAGTGGTTAAGGCACCAAGCTGGAAAAGAAACGGGCCATGAGTTCAAGTCCTACCTTAGCCATGAAAGCAAGCTGGGTGACTTGGACCAATCATTCTCTCTCAGTCCAACCCACCTCATAGGGTGTTGGGGGGTGGGGAGAAAGAGGAGGCAGATGTGTTGGATATGTTAGCTACCTTGAATTATTTGTAAAACTAATAAGGGTGGGATATAAATGAATGAGAATAAAGATGTTTTGCCTTTCTCAATGAGCAGAATTATCATTCTTTTCCAATGCCATTTCATTTCCTTCTTTTCATTTCCTCATCTGCATTCATGGGGATTACATACTTTGCTGATATATACAGAGAGGAAGGGAGATACTTTAAAGTCACTTAAATCCTAATTTCTTAAATAATTGCATGTTTTCAATCCACCAGATATATGTAGAACCCACCATAAAATGGAGAGGGAGGACCTAAAGAAAGTACTGACGGGAAAAATTTGAATCGGTTCCTTATTCTCACTTTTCCTTCTAATTATTTTTGCTCCACTAGTGTTCTTTCCACAGTGACAACTTTTGCTGGCTGGGGAATTCTGGGAGTTGAAATCCACCAATCTTAAAGTTGCCAAGATTGGAGACCCCTGTTGTAGACCTTACCAGAGTAAGTAAGTGAATAGTGGCAGCATGGGAGAAGTAAAGGAATTTCAACACTAGCCACAAGAGACGCTGTAATAAGTATTATTTCAGCATTTACCTCAAGAGATTAAAACCTTTCATAAATCCAATCTTCATTTTTTTAATTTTTAATTTTAAATTTTTAAAATGAAAAAGGTTAGGTTTTTGAATTAGCGGTGGCGTCCCTCTGGTTGAAATGTGCCCACCAGGCTTCAGAGCATTCCATCAGCCGAGGGCTCAGGGGAGGGGCGGGGGGGTGGCGGTTATTATTAACGAGGATCTGGGTCCGAGGGAGACCACTGTGCCTCAGATAGCCGGATGTGAGTCCCTCCTTGTGAGGTGGGGCCGTGGGGTTCAGATGGGCTTGTTGCTTACGTACCTGGCTCCCTGCCGCGTGGCAACAGCCCTACCTGAGCTACTCGACGTGATAGCCACGGTGGCAGTAGATACACCCAGGCTTTTAGTCATGGGTGATTTCAACTTGCCATCCGTCGGTGAAACGTCTGAGGTGGCTCGGGAGTTCATGGCTTCCATGACGGCCATGGACCTGACCCAGTTAGTTCATGGCCCTACTCACAGGGGAGGTCACACTCTGGATCTGATTTTTGTCTCTGGCCAGTGGTTGAGTGGTCTTGTTATAGGGGATATAGACATGGAACCCTTGTCATGGTCTGACCACTCACTCCTTCGCCTAGATCTTCGAACCGCGACCCCTCGCCGCAGGGAGGTGGATCCAATTAGATGGATCCGCCCCAGGCGCCTGATGGATCCTGATAGGTTCCAGACGGAGCTTGGGCCATTTCCTGAGGATCTAGCACATGACTCGGCCGAGGACCTGGTAGCCGCCTGGGATCGGGCGGCTGGTGGGGCCTTGGACCGAGTTGTGCCTTTGCGGCCTCTGACCCGATGCCGATCCCGTGCGGCTCCTTGGTTTACTGAGGAGCTGAGGGAAATGAAGCGCCGGAAAAGACGCCTGGAGAGCGGTTGGAGGGCCAGTCTCGCTGAATCTGATCGAACACTGGTAAGGTCGCATATTAAGGCCTACCTAGTGGCGATAGAGACGGCAAAGTCTAACTACTTTTCCGCCTCTATTGCGTCATCAGGGAATCGTCCGGCTGCCCTGTTTAGGGTGACCCGCGCCCTGCTCCATCCAGGAGTGCGGGAGGATCCCTTAGAAGGCAGGGCGGAGGATTTCGGACAATACCTGTATGACAAAATCGCCCAGATCCGGGGGGATTTGGACTCTGACTGGGTAGATCAGGGCAGGGTGACGAGGAATAGTCTTGAGAATGTTATCTGGGAGGAGTTTGATGCTGTGACTCCTGATGATGTGGACAGGATTTTGGGGAGACTTAGTGCGGCCACATGTTTACTGGACCCGTGTCCCTCCTGGTTGGTACTGGCTTCCCGGGAGGTTACACGAGGCTGGCTCCAGGGTGTTATCAACGCTTCGTTGAGTGAGGGTTACTTCCCCACCGCCTTGAAAGAGGCGGTGGTGAGGCCTCTCCTCAAGAAGCCGTCCCTGGATCCGGCAATATTGGCCAACTATCGTCCTGTCTCCAACCTTCGCTTTATGGCGAAGGTTGTTGAGAGTGTGGTCGCACGACAGTTTCCGCAATTCCTGGAGGAAACATCTTATCTAGATCCGTTCCAGTCGGGTTTCAGGTCTGGGCACAGCACAGAAACGGCATTGGTCGCGTTGGTTGATGATCTCTGGAGGGCTCGGGACAGGGGTTGTTCCTCTGTTCTGGTCCTGTTAGACCTCTCAGCGGCTTTTGATACCATCGACCATGGTATCATGCTGCACCGGCTGGAAGAGTTGGGGGTGGGAGGCACCGTGTTGCAGTGGTTCTCCTCCTTTCTCTCCGACCGGTCGCAGTTTGTGTTGGCAGGGGGGCAGAGGTCGACCTCGAGGCCTCTCATTTGTGGAGTGCCGCAGGGATCGGTCCTCTCGCCCCTTCTGTTCAACATTTATGTGAAGCCGCTGGGTGAGATCATCCGTGGCTTTGGGGTGAGATACCACCAGTACGCTGATGACACCCAGCTGTACATCTCCACCCCAGGCCACCCCAACGATGCCCTTGAAGTGATGTCCCAGTGCCTGGAGGCTGTACGGGTCTGGATGGGGAGGAACAGGCTCAAGCTCAACCCTTCCAAGACTGAGTGGCTGTGGCTCCCGGCATCCCGATATAGTCAGTTGACTCCATCACTGACTATTGGGGGCGAGTCATTGGCCCCCACAGAGAGGGCTCGCAATCTGGGAGTCCTCCTGGATATGCAGCTGTCCTTGGAGGAACATCTGACGGCTGTAACCAGGGGGACCTTTTGTCAGGTTCGCCTGATTCGCCAGTTGCGGCCCTTTCTTGATCGGGATTCCCTGTGCACAGTCACTCACGCCCTCGTCACCTCTCGCCTTGACTATTGCAACGCTCTCTACATGGGGCTCCCCTTGAGGAGCACCCGGAGGCTCCAGCTGGTCCAGAACGCAGCAGCGCGGGTAGTGACGGGAGCAGCATGGCGCTCCCATGTAACACCGCTCATGCGCGAGCTGCACTGGCTCCCAGTTGTCTTCCGGGTGCGCTTCAAGGTGTTGGTTATCACCTTTAAAGCGCTCCATGGCATAGGGCCTAGCTATCTTCGAGACCGCCTGCTGCTACCAACGACCTCCCATCGACCCGTGCGCTCCCACAGAGAGGGCCTCCTCGGGGTGCCATCAGCCAGACAATGTAGGCTGGTGACCCCCAGGGGGAGAGCCTTCTCTGTGGGGGCACCTACCCTCTGGAATCAGCTCCCCCCAGAGATAAGGAGAATCCAAGACCTCAGTGCCTTCCGTCGCGCCCTTAAAACCCATTTATTTAAACAAGCCGGGCTGGCTTAAGATGAAATTTTTAACTGTTTTTAAATGTTTTAAACGTTTTTAATTGGTAAATGAGTTTTAATTGGGCCAAATTTATATATCTTTTAATTGTTTTTAATATTTGTTCTGCATGTTTTTTTTAATTTGGCTGTACACCGCCCTGAGTCCTTAGGGAGAAGGGCGGTATAGAAATCCAATATAAAATAAAATAAATAAAATAAATTTGAAGATCTTTAAACTAAAACTGGAGAGAGGGAGGGAGACCAATTTTAGGACCCAATCCCAAGCATAAACCTCAAGGCAACCAACCAAGTTATTTATTTATTGGTTCGATTTATATGCCACCCTTCTCCGGAGACTCAGGGTGGCTTACAATGCGTTAAGCAATAGCCTTCATACTTTTGTATATACCTGCTTAGTAGGGCTTTCGTGGGACCCCTAAGCGGTGTTCTTTTTAATACAAAGTCAGCTTATTGCCCCCACAATCTGGGTCCTCATTTTACCTACCTCGGAAGGATGGAAGGTTGAGTCAACCTTGAGCCTGGTGAGATTTGAACTCGCAGTAATTGCAGGCAACTGGTAGCTAAGTGCTACTTTAACAGCAGTTTAGTCGACTGCACCACTAAGGCTCATATGCACCACCAAGGCTCAAAAGTACATGCTTTTGTCATATTATCAAGCTACCTTGTTTCCTCTTGCCCTCTTTTTCTATTGCTCTTGATTTTCCCAAGCATCAAGATTTTTCCTGATGACACTTATCATTGTATGTATCCCAAACGCCTAAGTTTTAGTTTCATTATTAATATTTCAAATAGGTAAAGGTAAAGGTTCCCCTCGCACATATGTGCTAGTCATTCCCAACTCTAGGGGGCAGTGCTCATCTCTGTTTCAAAACTGAAGAGCCAACGCTGTCCGAAGACGTCTCCGTGGTCATGTGGCTGGCATGACTAAACGCCATAGGCGCACGGAACGCTGTTACCTTCCCACCAAAGGTGATCCCTATTTTTCTACTTGCACTTTTTACATGCTTTCAAACTGCTAGGTTGGCAGAAGCTGGGACAAGTAATGGGAGCTCACCCTGTTACGCAGCACTAGGGATTCGAACCACTGAACTGCCGACCTTTTGATCAACAAGCTCAGCATCTTAGTCACTGAGCCACCGCGTCTCTATTTAGAATAAGGATCAGGTTTTATTTCATCTAATAATAAATTAAAATAATTCATTTTACTGGCCAAGCTATTCCAACCCTACAATTCATATATTATTTTTTCTTTCTTTCAGTCTTCCTGATCATCCGGCTTTTACAGATATATGTTGTGATTGGCCTTCAAAATGCATACCTTTGTTGTCAATAAAATGTCTATGAACTTATTAGTTCCATAGATTATATCAGGAGGAGAAACATTTGGCTCCCTGCAAATCTTGATTGAAACATTTTAATTTTGTCTCTCCCTATTTAGGCAATATCTGGGTTTGAGGACAATCAAGGAATGATAGTGGAGATAGCAATATTTTTCTCTCCCACCCCCTCCCAGTTTTTGGAGGAGATAGATATTTTTTTTAAGAGAGTTAATTCTACCTTTATGTGGTTTCTACATCAAACTGGTAGCTAATCAAAATGCAGTGGTGCAGTCAGAAGAAAGGAAGGGGTTTGCCAGAAAAAAAGCAGCAAATGGATTACTTTTAGGTAAGAAGGGCTGCCTATTATATGTAGCTTGAGATTTATCAAAGTAAATATATTTATTTTTAATAATATAATTTAATAGTATTTAAACTTACAGAATAGAATTCTTTATTGACCAATTGTGACTGGAAACACAAGGGATTTGTCTTAGGTGCATATGCTCTCAGTGTACATAAGGAGAATAAAATACATTCATCAAGAATAAAAAGATACAACAGTTAGTGATAGTCAAGGTTACTAATAAGCTATCAAATCGTACTAGGAAACAAATAAAAACAATATAATTGAAAGATACAAGCAACATGGTTATAGTAATAAGTGGGAAGAGATACATACCAGTATGGAAGAGAAGAATAATAGTAATACAGTGTTAGTAAATTATTTGACAGTGTTATGGGAATTAGTTGTTAAGCAGAGTGATGGCATTTGGGAAAAAACTGTCCTTGTGTCTAGTTGTTTTGGTGTGCAGTGCCCTATAGCGTCTTTTTGAGGGTAGAAGTTGAAAATAATATATATTATAATATACATATATATATATATATTATTGCTTTGTTTTTGTTTCTTTGTAACCCAAGGAGAAAACTCCTGTCCTGCTAGAATATAGTCAGTAGATGGCAGGATGGATCAAGCAATGGTTTAGAAACTACAGCCGGCTGCCTAAAAACAGATGAGTATAGTAAAGAGATACCAGCTGGTGCTGACAATAATTCCCTCAAACTTGTTATTTGATCTCTCTGCAGATGTTCGGAAGTCCTAGCAGCCATGAAGTCCTAGAAGCCATTGAAGCTCTCTCTGGGAAGTTTGCCCAGAAATGATCAAATCCTCAATTAGAAAATATGTCTTGGTCCTTCTGAGAAGTTGATTGTTAAATTGGTTGGAGAAGCTGAACTTTATGTGAACGTTTGGCCATAAGAAACTTTAGGGTCATCCTCCTTTTAACCGAAATATACCAATAAGCTATGCAAGCAACTTTATTTTCATAAATATCCGTCTTTCTTGGCAGAGCAAGTGCATTAGTTTAAAATCAAACAGTGTATCAAGAAATTATGAAAACTCGATTGCACCTTATTGCAAATTAAGATAATGTAAATTTCAGCTTGAACAAGTCATGTTTGATTGGTTTTTTTTTTTAAAAAAAGGTTATATTATGTCATAAAGATTCCTGAAATAAGTTACCCTTGAATGTCAAGAGGTGAAAAGGCCATTTCAAGATGAGTTTTGTTTTTTAAATGGAACAGTATGGTCAGCAATATTCATTCCAATAAAGGGCCAGTAAATCCAGAAATAGCTTCTTTGATTACCTGAAAATGTTGTTCATTTTTTGCTCTGTTCTTTCATTAACTTCCTGCCTTTCCTCTTGAAGATTAAGAGGCTGCATACAATAACTCCTTTCATTCTGTTCACACAGTAGCTACTGTGAGCAATATTGAGAGTGACTTCTGTGATCCAAAGTCATCCCACGATTTCAGCAACGGAAATTATTACAAAGAAAATTTACTGGCGTCTTAATTTACTCCAGTGTATTCATATACCCCAAGGTTTGGAAGATTGATGGCTGTGTGGTGGCACAGTGGTTAGAATGCAGCATTGCAGGTTAATTCTGCCCACTGCCAGGAGTTCGATCCTGACCGGCTCAAGGTTGACTCAGTCTTCCATCTTTCCGAGGTCAGTAAAATGAGGGCCCAGATTGTTGGGGGCAATATGCTGACTCTGTAAACTGCTCAGCGAGTGCTGTAAAGCACTATGAAGCGGTAAATAAATGTAGGTGCTATTGTTATTACTATTTCCTGTGCCAACACACAAATAATTGAGATGGGGAGCTATAATAAAGAAAGGTGGCTCAAAAACGTAAGAGGTGCTGGAGGGGAATGAGAAGGCATCTTAGACTAGATTTCCCAGTCTGGTTATATACTTATATGTTGGACATCAATGTCTGTCATCACCTGGCCAGAAGCTGAGGAAGCTTCATCCAGTTGGTTAGAGAGCTATTGAGTTTTTAGTTAAAAAGCAGAAACCAATTGGACAAGATAATGTAATTGGTTATATTATTTACAACAGAATCCACATTCAATGAAGTGCTTTGATTCCTATGAATATAAAACCCAATAGCCCACCTAGCAGTTTGAAAGCCTGCAAATGCGAGTAGATTAATAGGTACCACTTCGGTGGGAAGGTAACAGTGTTCCGTGCACCATGCTGGCCACATGATCATGGAAATTGTCTTTGGACAATGCTCACTCCCTTGGCCAAGAAACAGAGATGACCATTGTACCTTTACCTTACAACCCAATGATATATCACCCTACAAAAATCTACACAAGTGTTGCTAAAGAAACGAGCTGCTGGTGGAATGCTCTAGTAGTGTGTGTGTGTGTGTGTTTGGCACTGGAAGAATAGCAATATGCCAGGTAAACCTATTTATGGGATTGCATTTCATTTAACAGAGATGCACATTAGAAAAGCCCACTCACTTTAATCATTGGGAATGGCAGGAATTTCATGTAGAGAAGCATCATTAAACATGACCCCAAATGGTACTCAAACTCTCTATCATTTTAAGGAAAAGGCTGTTGGGTTAAACGTGTGGAATTTGCACCAACACTAACTGATCATCACACATCACATATCCTTCCCTTTCCTAAGCCAGTCAGCATGTGGCCCAGTAATAACTATCCAATGAGTACTCAGATGCACAGTAAAATAAACCCATCTCACGTCAGAAACAATTTCTTTTAGAAAGCTACTGAATGAATGATTGCCCTATAGTTTGAGTTGCTGAAGCATTTTCTTAACAATCCGTGGTTTCCTGACTAATATAAATAGGTTGATTCCATGGATAAACTCTGGATACCTCTGATGTTGCCTTGTTTGAAACAGACTGCCAGTTACAGATTAAAAACTAATGGGTACCAGAGCAGGCAGCAGGAGTCATAAAATCTACAGTCATAAGAATTAGGCTTAGATAGACCAATTAGTCAAGCATGGAATTTCATGGATGGATGGTCAACCGGATGCCATAGAAAAATCTGAAGAAGATAAGAATTCCTCAAATCTCAAACCAAGATGTTTGTTCTCAGCACCCGAAATTCAAATCAATTGTTTCTGAATATAGCAGTCTCATAGGTGACAAATGTTGGTAGACCCATCCTTCAGAATTGGAGACTTTTTTTTTTTTAATTTGATTTATATGCCGCCCTTCTCCGGAGACTCAGGGCGGCTTACAATGCGTTAAGCAATAGCCTTCATATTTTTGTATATTTATACAAAGTCAGCTTATTGCCCCCACAAACTGGTTCCTCATTTCACCTACCTTAGAAAGGATGGAAGGCTGAGTCAACCTTGAGCCTGGTAAGATTCGAACCTGCAGTAATTGCAGGCAGCTGTGTTAATAACAGGGTGCTTTAAACCACTGTACTACCAAGGCTCTTGGTACTTCACTTCCCTGAAGCAGATTCTGTCTGCACAATCGTCAGTAAGATTTGTAGCTACAACTAGCAAATCATGTCTATTGTCTTCTCTCTTACCCTTATACCCAACTTGGATAAAGCCAGAGGTGGGCTTCAGCAGGTTCTGACCAGTTCTGGAAAACCGGTAGCGGAAATTTTGAATAGTCCGGAGAACCGGTAGTAAAAATTCTGACTGGCCCCGCCCCCATCTATTCTCTGCCTCCCAAATCCCAGTTGATCAGGAGGAAATGGGGATTTTGCAGTAACCTTCCCCTGGATTGGAGAGGGAATGGAGATTTTACAGTATCCTTCCCCTGGAGTGGGGTGGGAATAGAGATTTTACAGTATCCTTTCCCTACCATGCCCACCAAGCCACGCCCACAGAACCGGTAGTAAAAAAATTTGAAACCCATCACTGGATAAAGCGTCCTGCCTCCAAAAATTGGATCAAACAGCCCATCTATTATGATTGCCTGTTCAGTCACCTTAAACACAAGGAATACTTGTATTAATAGGAGATTAAGCTTTGGAACATTGTGTTTTGCATAGCTTTAATGGAATGTGAGCTCCTCCATCATGGCTTATAATAAATGAGCAAGCCGAGACCCTCAGGATTGTCCCCACTTTGTAGTTGTCATTCACCTTCAACAAACACAGTGTGAGCAATGGCAATTCCAAACAGAGGTAATAACTCCACCTGCAGTATCCAAAGGTAAACATATTGGTACCTAACTACCTGTAGCCAGCAAGCAGCAGCTCCTTTGGCTGGTTTTCAAAGATGCTTGTATCTGCAATCTGGATAGCCTCTTTTATGAAATCCTCCTTCACAGACCCATCCCTCACTGACTGCTCATTGGAAGGGGAGTATGGCAAAATGATCTGAGTAGCGTATTCTTGCCTCTCTCCACATCCAGTCAGGTGATACCAAGTTACTCGTGTCTTGATAAAAAGCAATTTAGCCTTCATCATAAAAAGAAACGCTGTCTGACATTTTACAATCTTGTTATCCAGGTTAATTGAGAAGTTATTTCTTTCATGTTGGACCAGTGTTAGCATTTTAAGGCCTTACTTGTGCACTTATATTGATCTAAGCAAGCATCTTTTTTTAATTACAATATGATTAGTTTATACCGTGTTTCCCCGAAAATAAGACCCTTATATTTTTTTGAACCCCGAAATAAGCACTTGACCTTATTGCCATGTGCTCAAAAGCTTGATTGGGCTTATTATCAGGGGATGTCTTATTTTAGGGGAAACAGGGTAGAATAGCATACAAAGAAAATACAAAAGTAAATAATGGTGGGGGGGAAATAAGGAAGGAAAAAGGGAAGAGAAAAGGGGGGGAAAGAAAAGGGGGGAAAGAAAGAAAAGGCATTGACTTCCAACTCCCTTCAGTGCAGTAGAATAAGACATTCATATAAAACCTCAATTTTTTACTTTTACATAATAGTTTAAACTAGCCATTTCTATAGCAACAAATCTATCTAATCGGTGAAACCCAAAATCAAAGTTTCATTTTTTTCCCCACCTCAGACACAAAGTCTAAAAGCAGTTTCCATGTAGAAATAAAAGTATTTGTATTTTTTTTCTTTAATCAAAGCCAATATAAGCAAGCATCTTTGTTTTGAATTCCACCCCATCACTTGTCTGAAGAATTACAAATAATTCTGAAAGGAACGGTTGTTTATAATGTATATGTGGTCAATTCCTGCTTAATTCAATATAGGAGCATAAAAATACAATTGGACAAATCCTGAATATTAAGGTAACAGAGCTGATTCAGACACATTCTTCATCTGCGCATGTGAATAAAATTGCATGATTTAAATAATGCAGCAAACTGGTCTCAGATGTTTAGAGAAGAATATCTTCTAAAATACTTTAAATTATTCCCTAATATTATTATGGTTGCATTCACACATGATACACAACTAGTTAAAACAAATTGTGCTTTTTTTGGGGGGGGATCCAGAATCAATCTTCCAGAAAAGCTAGAGCCCGTTCCTTGTTTGTTTTCTCCGTCTGTCAGTCCTCGGAAGAAATGTGTTATGAATTACCATGTTTCCCCGAAAATAAGACCCTGTCTTATATTTTTTTGAACCCTGAAATAAGTGCTTGGCCTTATTGCCATATGCTCAAAAGCCCGATTGGGTTTATTATCAGGGGATGTCTTATTTTGGGGTAGGAAGAATAATTTAAAACCTCACTGGTGGACCTTTCTTGTAAGCCAATAAAAAACCCTCAAACCCCAACCCACCCCGATATGTATGTGTGTCTATGTATGTGAATATGTGTATATATACATGTGTGTGTGTGTCTAAAATAGCCTAGCTAAACTAGTATCTAGGTAGTATCTGCTTTGTTTTCAGCATCTATCCAGAGTTCACTGCATGACACCTGGATGTAATCGATCCTTCCTTCCTTCCTTCCTTCCTTCCTTCCTTCCTTCCTTCCTTCCTTCCTTCCTTCCTTTCTTCTAGAGTAAGAATCTTTCTACTCTGCTCAGTGTTATCTATCCAACATTGATATGGCAAACAAACAAACAAACATGCTGCTATGAAGTCGATTGTTTCCATCATTGATCCCTAATCTGTTGTAATCCCTTCATTCAACCCCACTTCCTTTCAAGATAATGGGTAACTAAGTGTGAGATTGTATACATCTACTGCCTTTGGATGATACTCAGAATAAAGGAAAGTTATCGTTTTAATGGTAGTTATATTACAGAGAAATCAAAGTGAGCTAACCAGATGTAGATCCCATTGAAACTAATGGGAGAGCTACATTAACTTGACCAGAAAAGGAAGAAATGTAATTCATTGAACTTGGCCAATGGCTT